AATAATTATAACTTTCCCTGTGCAACTTTTTTATTCACTAAAATCCAAATATTGTATGTATCCTCGTGCAATAACTACTTGTTTTGATAATGACTAAAATAGAATAAGCAATTATAACTCTTCTTGTGTAAATTTTATATTCATTGAAGTCCAAGTGAGATAAATATCAGTGGCTACTTTTATTTAAATAATAACTATTTTTCTTCTAACAAGGAATAAAACAGAATAAGTTATTACAATTTCTCCCACTATGAGCAGTGAGGAGTTGCACGAAGTTTTAATTATTTGTTCCATTATTGTCATTATTAGAAAAAAAAGTATTCACTACTTAATTATAGTAGTAGCTAATACTTACTTTTTTTAGGGTAGAGTTGTTACTTTTATTTATTTTAAATTAGAGATACTTTAATCATTTCACAAAAAATTATTAATATCAGAAAAGTTTTTAAAGAATTGAGAAGAATTATGACATTTTACAGGACTTCATTGTTTTTTGCATATTCTAGAGGGATTTATCTATTATTTTTTCTTTAGAAAACTATTTCCACTATTCCAATTCTGGGGTTCTTCAGAGAGTTGCTTCTTTGGTGAGTTTGTTTATTCAGATTAATAATTTGATGCGAGTGATGTGTTGCAGTGATTTTATTTTTGATAATTTTGTAATAAGGCAAACATGCATTTTGATTCCACAGTTTTAAAATTGGCTTCTATTCAACGCATCATTGAAGAGGGAGCAAGAGACCGGCTAACAGGCAAGCTGATTTTAAATTAATATAACGTAATTAAAAATATAACTTTTCATCATTAAATATATAATCCTAAAGATGATTAAAGCGGTTTGGCCTTTTTTATTAAAAGAAAATAGTTGAGAACGTAATGAGAAAAAAGGAGTTCGCGCTCTGAACCTTCCTTCATGGCCAAGATGGTAGTATAGTAGGACTAAGAAATGATGGCTTTCTTTGCTGCATTTGCTTTATTCTTTTAATTTTAAAAATAAAAATGAAAGGAAAAAATAAAGAAGATAAATAGAGAGAGAGAGAGAGAGAGAGGAAATATGTCACAACAGGAGATGAACACATTATGCAAAAGGAAAACATGTATGCTAGTGATAATTCCCAATCAAATGGAAAGTAGAAATTATACACTTGATAATTTATCGGTGGAGAAAAGTATTTGAATGGGAATAAATACCATTTTCTATTCTTTTTTCTTTTTCTGTTTTCTTTATGGAAGCACTATTTTCTATACATGTTTCAATATGTCTTTACAGATACTCTCCTCTTTTTAATATTCTCTCCATCTTAAATTATAAAATATTTTTAATAGAAATATGCATACTAATAAAATTTATTAAATATATTTTATAATTTTATTTTTTAAAATAAAAATATAAAAATTTTAAAAATATTCTTAATTTAATACTTCATTTATGAAATTAAATTTGTTTTGCTTAGAATTCAACTGGTACTTTATTTCTTTCCTAAAATGGAAAACCATCAATAGTGTACATTGGCCTCAGGTTCAATTATTCTTGAAATTTGATTTGATTTTCTTTCCTTCTAAGAAGACCCATCCCCAGTACTTGGAAAAATGAGTGTAATACTCTAACAAGCATGATAGTGAAAAATGACAAGTGAGTGTATTTTTTTTTGACAAGCATGTATATAAAAAATAACAAGTAACTATAAGGTCTGAACAAACAAGAATATGGAAAATAATGAAACAAGCTCACCTACTAATTTACATTTAGCTAGGCCCCTATCATAATAATAAAGGATTCACTTGTCATGTTAGAAAAGAAAAACCTAACTCTGTCATGTTAATAAAAAAGGATTGACCTAAGCTCTACCATGATAATAAAGCAACCCTACTCATCTAACATGAGCCATACTATGGTAGAAAAAAAATTTAAGCCAACACATAAGAGTTGTCATAGTAGAAAAGAATGAAACATATTAATCAATCATAATTCAAATAGATTCCACATCTCCAATAGTAGAAAAGAAAGGATAATTCATACCTCAAACATACATAATCATGCAATAGACCCTGTCATGCAAATCAAGACACATCCAAAGCAATCTATGTCACACAACTTATGTCGGCTCCGCCTACTCTAACATGCTAGGAAACACCTATAAAACTCTGCTATATTCCTAATAGCCAAGCAGGTTACGGGTGCATTTGGTAAACTCACATTTCACATCCCAAATGTGGTTTTTAACTTTTGGGATGTGGGATGTTGTTTGGGATATATTTTTTAGATGAAATGTGCTTTTCAAAAGGACTTTTAAATGGGTTTGAAACTGAAAAAATAGGAAGTAACTTTTGGGAGCTTTTGAAATGCAAATCAGACAATGTGAGCATTAATGATTGGTACCTAATATTATAAAAGACCATAATACCCTCATTTTCTCCTTCTTCACATGCAACCGACACTGGACTCTCTCATTATGCATATTCTCACTTACTCATCCATCGATCGTCTATCACTCGTCCTTCTCTCCTTCGTCTCTCCTTCACCATCTAGTCACAGATCCTGAGCTCCTCATCTATTCCCTTCCTCGAGCTCCTCGTCTCTTCCTTCATCGTCGGTTCCGCCATTACTCCACCTTATTTCTTCATTTCCACCATCAGTTGTTCACAGATCAAGCTTGTTTTAGGACTTGGACAACATTGCGAAGCTAAGAGAACTCAAGACACTTGGATTTACAACCTGTGGAGTGCAAAACCAAACCTTTAGACTAGCTTTGTGAACTCTGGCCTACTTCTCCGATCTGTAAGGTATGATAGCCTGCAAATGTTTTTTGTTACATCTGGAAACAATGGTCCTCTGTTGTGTGTTAATAGACAAAAATGAAGCATAATGTGGTGGATTTGGTGTGTATTTCCGATATGCTCTGTTCAGTGGTGACCATGTTCTCTGTAGACCTTTTTTTTTGCCTTCTGTTGATTGCGATCTACACATAACAAGAATGTAGGAGTTTAGTTCTTCACAGACCCAGTTATCAGCAAGCATGTTCTTCCGGCGCAAGCTACAAGGATGTTTAGTTCTCTTATTTTGACTTATAATATGAAATTTCTATTTCCTTTTTCTAGAACTTTAGTATGTATTTTTGAAATATCAGATTAATGTAACATGAAGGAATGAACTATTTATTACACAATTTTTGCAAAATTAAATTTATATTAGAAATTAGATTGTATATTATAGATCAAACTGTTAATCATGTAATTATTCAATATTAATGAATATTTAACTATTTATTACATAAATGTTTTCTAGAATTAAATTTTATATTTTTTTCTTATTATTTAACATTTTAAATTTTATGTTATTTTAAATTTCTTTCACATATTTTAAACATTTCCAATATATTATATTTGTATACTAAAAATTATAAATTATTATAAATTAATATCCTTTTTGTTCATTACATATTAAAAAATATATTTTAAAAGAATAATTTTTTTAATCCAAACAACTTTCAGTTTGTCAAACTAACTTTTAAACAAATATATCCAAACATAAATTTCATTACAATAACTGACTTTTACCAAATTAATTTTTGTTAAATAAACTTTTATCAAACTGACTTTTAGCAAATTGAAAACTAAACACACACTACATCAAAAGCATGTTTAGAGATTTAAGCAAATAATGTAAATAATATAAAATACATTCTACAACTTTGCACTCTGGTAGAAACCTCTAACTAGAAGGCTTAGAGGTTATAAATGAATCATAAGTCAATCAACAATATCTGTTACACTTTAATATCAAGGGTATAATTGACACAAAATATGAGATAACCTCACATTTCATAAGCCTTAGTTGACCAAAAATTAAGCTAAATTGTCAATATATAATTTTTATGTGATTATAAAGTTAGTAAAATCTTCAATGTTTGTAAAAATTTTGGCAGAGTCTCCTCTATAATTTAAATCTCCTAAAATTCTTACAATAATGAAACCAGCCAATCAATCCATTAAACGAATTACCACTGTATAATATAATGAATATTTATATTAAAATAAATGATTGAAGTGTGCTTGTGTCATCCAAAAAGCAATAGAGCCCCTTAATGATTATCAAAAGGTGTAAGGTCAATTACATTATCTGAGACCAAAAATATTTTTGGTGACTAGCATCACGATCAACATTATAGATAAAACATGTAAAAATAGTAATTAATAAAATTTGGTTTAAAATAAATCAATAAAATATTAAATCACATATTATAATTACCAATAAATGACAAAGTTGCTCAACAACATAATCGTGAAATAAACCAATAATTTTGAAATTTTATATGTTATCAAGAATTGCACAATTAATAAAAATATACAAAAAGAATTTGAATGATGATACAATCAAGAAAAAATTTATAAATAACTAATATAAAATAATAAATTTTTAAATCCAATCTAGGAGGAAATTTACCATATAAGATCATATACAATTAAACAATAATTTATTTATTAGAATAAATTTAAAAATAAAATTTTTCAAAATTTATGGGACTTAATCAGAATGATTAACAAATGTAGATACACAGTCTACGAGGGTAAGTCATCAATAAGTGTGACTTAAAGCCATGAAATAATTAAACGCTACTAGAAGCCATGAAACACGTGTGAATATGATATTCATGAATATTCATCCCTCTTTTCCACTTACATTGGTTTGCACACAAGGCTAGCACTTCTTACAAATATCCTACTAGTAGAGGTGTGCAATTTACTCATATACCTACTTGACCTTTACTAAAATAGGTCAACCCATACCCATTCTCTAAAAAAAAAAAAACGGGTATGGGCAAGCATATACCCACATATCAAAAATGGCGGGTAATAAGTAAGGCAACAGGTGGCCCGTATCCGCCTATTTATAATAATTATTTTTTTAAATATAATTTTTCAATTCTTCAGTTAGGCCTGGGGTGATGATTTAAAAAAAAAATTCAAAACTGAGAAAGCCAAGGCCACTGAAGTGAAGCCTTCAACCCATGGCTGTGCGCTTGACCCCCGTACCCTAACAGAGCAAAAGCAACTGACCCTCACACCTGACCAAGCTACCTCTCATCCTCTCTACTCTCTAGTCTCATCTACTTTACTTCTCATTTGTTCGGAGTTTTCCTTTGCCAATCGCCAGCCACAGCTAGTCACCTATGCCTAGTGCTTCTTTCAGCCATCTCCCTCCTCTGTTCGTGACTTCACGTGATGGCCTAAGTCGAGTAAGACTGCAAGAGATTTCAACTTTAGTTTCAGCTTTATCATTCGGCATTCACCTTTTTGCAAGCTTTGCCTTCACCTCAGCAGCTCAAGTAAGTCACCTCATTCTCGTCCTCTCCCCAACTGCTGCTGGCTGCCATTGGTTCAGTATTCTGGTTATATTTGTGAGAGTAGCTATATCATAATGCTTGCCAGTTGGATTTGAAAATTAGTTCTTTTAAGGCTAATATTCGACTGTCTTACTTTCACATCATGCCACTTTGATGCCAGTCAATTACAGAATTGGCACCATTATCTGGAAGCAAGGGGATTTTGATTGGGTATTGTTCTACACAGTATTTCCAATAAAGAAACTTTACCAGTTAACTGTTGCCTTTTCCCCTTAGGTAGTCTGAGCTTTTCTTAATTTTCTATTTCCTTGATTGATCTCAGGCTGCAAAACTTTATGAGAGGTGCTTAGTTGTTTGTGCCAACTACCCTAAATACTGGATGCGTTATGTGGATTTCATGGAAACTAAGGGAGGAAGAGAAATTGAAAAGTATTAGTTGGAAAGAGCAACAGAAATTTTGTTAAAGGTATCATCTTTGTGATATGCATTTTGTTGATTGAGTTTCATGCTGATCAACCTTTGCATCGAATTATTGTTATAATTTAGTGTTCCTAAGATGGGTCCGATAAATGACAAAAAGTGATCTGGAATATAAATAAAGAGTTTACTTACAAGTTACAACATCATAAAATAGTATTGAAAGCCCCCCTTTTTGTAATTTTTTTTTCTTTACAAATTGCTTAATGCTCATTTAGAGGGGGGAAAACTCTGGTCTTTTTATTATCTGATGTCTCTGATTTAGGCTGATATGGTGGATACCTTATCAAACATCCTCACCTGGTAGGAAATGTAAGTGATTTGTAAGCTAAATCAAGAACGCCTTGCACGATGATGAGATAATGTTGCTGAAATAACAGTAAATGGATGAATGTGTCAAGCAAAATGGGTGGTACCACGCAAGTATCTGAGTTTGTGTTTAACAGTAGTCCAATGGGTTTCTTTGGGTTGGTGCATAAATTGACATACATGATTAACTATAAAGGTAATGTCTGGTCTAATAAAGCTAAGATATTGCAAGCTGCCAACATTGCTTTGATAAAGGACAGGTTAGAAAAGGTAGGACTATTTAAGATAGATAATTTAGAATTAGGTGCCATAGGAGAAGAGATAGATCAAGCTTTGGACATTTTTTATTTAACCAATAAATCTTCATTATATTTGCATTGGGAGAGAATTAAACCATATGAAGTAGATAGAACTTCAACTCCTAAAAAATAATGGAGAGAGCTCAAATCCTTAACAGGAAAAGATATGCCAAGAATATCAATTAATTATTGAATAATAGTCATAGAAGAGCTAGTAATAATAATGTCATCAACGTAGACCAGAATGTAAGTAGTGTAGAGATGATTTTTGCAAATGAAGAGAGAGGAGTCTGACTATGAGGAAGAGAAACCCAAGTGATAAAGTTTGGAGCTCAATCTAGCAAACCAAGCCCGTGGGGCTTGTTTGAGGCCATAAATGGCTTAATTTAATTTACAAACATGATGGGGATGTTGAGGATGAATAAATCCTAGGGGCTGTTGCATATACACATCTTCTTGAAGGAAGCCACGAAGGAAAGCATTTTGTATAACAATTTGCTTAATGCACCAGTAGTTGGAGATGGAAATAGTAAGGATAAGTTGAATAGTAATACGTTTCACTACTAGGGAGAAAGTATTACCAAAATCAACACCAGATTGCTGATAAAAGCCCTTGGCAATAAAACGAGCTTTGAATTTGTCTAGGGAGCCATCTGCTCAAAATTTTTATGGAAAATCCACTTGTAGTCAATGAGATTCATATCAAGCAAAAAGGGAACTAACACCCATGTATTAGTAAAGAGTAAAATTTAGAACTCACTGTGCAAGGTGTGACGTCATTTTGGAAATTTGAGAGCTTGAGAAAGAGAAGAAACCGTAGGTTGTTTGGATACCGAGATGCAGTGGGCTCAAGGTGGTGGTACAAGGATAAAGTCGACAGGAAGTGTCTTGGGTTTGTAGATATGAGGAGCATGTAATCATGTGGTGGGTGCATGTAATCATGTGGTGGGTAGGAGGTAGGGTTGAGACAGTGAGGCAGGGCTATCGATGGCAGACTGAGATGGAGAGGATGAGAGAGAGGGTGATAGAGATAGTACAAAAGAAAAGGACAAAGGAGAGAGGGGTGGTTGACTATCAATACAAGGTGAATTAAGATTAGGTAAAGGAGTTGGGTTAGGATAAGTAGGCCGTGGAATACAAGGTAAGATGAGATGAGTAGGAGATACGGGCCTACTGTTATTAGCCTAAGGAGAAATATTGGTGGAGCTTAGAAAAGGAAATTAGGTTTCATAAAAAATGACATCATGTGAAGTGTACAGTCGACCGTGGGAAGATGAAGACAAAGATACCCAAGATGATTTGAGGCATAGCCTAAAAATACATATAGTGTGGAATAAGAAGCTAATTTATTGGGTGCAAAAGTCTAAGGTTTGGCCAGCATGTAGTGCCAAAAGTTTTTAAAAAATGGTAGTTGGGAATTTGATGAAAAAGGAGTTCATATGGGCTTTTTTTATGTAGCAATGGGCTAGGTAATCGATTAAGAAGATAAGATGCAGTGGCAAAGGCAAACGTCCAGTAAGGTTGAGGTATATAACTATGAAACATGAGTGTAAGACAAGTTTCAACAATTGTTCTGTGACGTCATTTAATAGTACCATTTTGTGTGTAGGTGTGGGGACAAGTGATGCAATGATAGATGCCTAAGGATTGGAGTTCTTTGTCAAGTGAGCAAAATTCACCACCCCAGTCAAATTGAAAAGAGCATATATGAGTGTTGAAGTGAGTAAGAACCAATTAATGAAATTGATGAATTTTTTTGAACTTTATCTTTGGTTTTGATGCGATAGAGCTAAATATACTAAGAGTAATCATCAACAAAGCTAACATAATATTTTTATCTTTGGTTTGATGCGATAGAGCTAAATATACTAAGAGTAATCATCAACAAAGCTAACATAATATTAAACCAGTAATAGAAATAGATAGGGATGGACCCCATACATCACAAAACACTAGTTTAAAAGGAAACACAAAATAATGAAGAGACAGTTGTGATGGGAGACGATGACTTTTGGAGACCCAACAGGTTGAACATTAGTGTGACATTTTGTGAGTAGTAACAGGAAGAGAGTGATGTAAGAGAACATGTTGAACGGTACGGAGAGAAGGGTGGCCAAGACGACTGGCTAATGAACGATGGACATGCGCGTGCACTATAGTGAGTGTAAGGGATGGTGTTAATGGAGAGAGGATACCTTTTGTTAAGGCTTAGACTGTGAAGCAGGATTTTCTTGGTTTTCACGTCCTTCATACAAAAAGAATTAGAGTGAAACTCAAAAATCACATTATTGTCAAGGCAAAACTGGTGAACACTCAGTAAATTTTTAGTGATTATAGGAATATGTAAAAGATTAGAGAGTAAAAATTTGCCAAAGGGAGTTGGGAGAATGCCGACGCCCTAATGGTGGATTGGCATAGGAGAACCATCATTAAGTTGGATTGCCATGGTGCCATGGTAAGAGTTAGCATGAAGATTGAGGTTGGAAGAATCATTGTCATGTGATGAATGGCTCCTGTATTAGGGTACTAGAAGGAATTATAGAGTATGGAGTAGTCAGAGTTATGAGAAATTATAGTGGGAGGTGGTGGAGCTTGTAAGGCTTGGTTATAACAATAAAAGTAGTTATGTACGGTGTGGCCACACTTTTTGCAAAATTAAACATGGTAGTTTAGAGTCAAGTTGAAAGGTAGAGTAACATCTACTACGTTGGGTACAGCCACTATGACCTCTGTACAGCCTTCTGTATCCTTAACCACGACTAGAGTAAGGTTGTCAGCCACTGCCATTATCTTCATGAGTTGGTTGGGAGGGAGAGAAAAAGTGGCAGCAACTCGATTCACAACATTAGCAGTGATCTCAACAAGAAAAGAGATGGAGTCTTGTTGATTCATGTGAGCCTCAAAAGTAAGTAGATGGCTAAGAATTTCTTTAATATTAAGGGTCTGTCATTCGGTGGTGAGAGAAGTTACTATAGTTTTGAATCCTGATCCTAAACCTACAAGAAGATAAGTGATAAAATCATTATCGGCAACACATTTTCTAGTAGTAGCTAGAGAATTTGCTAGAATGGTTGCTCTATTGTGATACTTGGAGATGGTTTCTCCTCCTTTTCTGAGGGTTGTGATTTGTTGATGAAGGTGGACAGTTGAGCTTGTGTTTACTAAGAAAACAATGTGTCAAGAATGACACACATTGCATGAGAGGTTTCATGACAGAGCACTTGAGGGATTAATTTTTTAGAAAGAGAGGCTATGAGAATAGATAGGACCAGTTAGTTGATCTTGCTGCAACCAACGAAGATAAGCTTGGTTGGGAAGACCAGAAGGTGTTTCTTGATCATCCTATATCTTACACATCTCTCATCTGTATTGGAGTTATCTCCTTATAAATATAAGAACCCATATATGCACTATTCATCAATGAATACATATTTGAGTACTGATTCAGAAATGCTTTGCTCTTATTCTCTTTGCTTATTCCTGCTCTATTATGGTATGCCATACTTATGTTAGGGATTTGATACCATAATAGAGCAAGAATAAGCAAAGAGAATAAGAGTAGAGCATTTCTGAATCAATACTCAAATATGTATTCATTGATGAATAGTGCATATATGGGTTCTTATATTTATAAGGAGATAACTCCAATACAGATGAGAGACGTGTAAGATATAGAATGATCTAGAAATACTTATGCTTGTCACTTGATATTAGTAGTCTTTGTGGATGAGTTAATAAGCACCAACAAAAACAGAGGAGGGAAAAACAAGAAGAAACTAATAGCACAGGGAGAGGAGCTCTCGTGATTCAAGTTTCTAGCAATGGCAGACCACTCCTCTTGCTCTCTTTAGCCATGCATAGGCAGACTAGAGGAAGTCAAAGACTAGATGCACTCAAACCACAACAAAAAGAGAAGAAGAAAAAGAAGAGCACGAGCTGCACAGGCGACCTGATTCTCACACATACCAGCAACATGAACCTGAACAACAAGAATAGAACGACATTGAAGAAGACAAACAGAGATAGGGAAGCACGAAAGAGAACCTGGCATTGCACAGTAGTGACAAACAAACTTCATCCCTTATCAACGGTAGACGAACAAAATGGCAGCGAGCTTCACACCGACGATGACTGAAAATGATAGGGAAAAAGATTTGAAGTACTTCTTTCTCTTCTTGACAGGCCTGGAATGATAAAGAAAGAAGAGGAAATATCTTCAAATTTGAAGAAAGGGTAATTTGGTAATTTCAAAGAGAAAAAAAGTAAATATAATACCCTGTTTGTGCTTTACTAGATTTGAATGCTTGTATAGCTTCCATTGTACTAGCTCTTCCTTTTCGTCATAATTGTCCAAAGAATTAATATAATTATAATTATAATTAAAATACATTAATACATATTTAATTTTACTTTAATTTTTGGATTATTACAACTTTATTGTGATCATTAATTTTAGTTAGAGACAAAATTGAAAAGTCAAACATTTATTACAATATTAAGGATATTAGCTACTTCATCCGGTCTCTATTATAAGGAATTTTTAACTATTTT